GGCTGAATGGGCGAGCATGTTTGGTGTGACGGGGATTCGAACCCGCGACCCTCAGATTGCGAGTCGAACGCCTCCTAACCACCTGGCCATGCTGGGTCTTTACCATCGCAGTAATAAAAATGGAATGTATCTGCCGCAAGAGGAAGTTAAAGCTATTAACCAGTGGCTATTGACAAAAGTAAAACATATTAAACAGGTCTGTAAGGTTCCACAAACGTCAGACTATGTTCCAGTGGTCAGGATACCAACCATAGTAAATAATGATTAGTTCACAATTACCATATAGGAGGCGATGCCAGTCCAAAAACCACTTTTCAAGGAAGCTAACCAAAACGTGAGCATTGCTAACTCATAAATTACAGATATTGAACAATAGTAAACATGTGAAGTGCTTAAATGTTTTCTGTAGTAATTGTATGGTAAAAATATGGTGAAAACTACTCGAGGCACTTGCGACTGATCCTATGTTGTGAAACTATGAGTTGCTGGAGACAATGGTCTGGGTTTTCTGATTCACATAAAGCGAAGAATAAGATCAAAGGGTACTCAAACATTGTTGCTGAACATTTAGCTCCATAACACTGCATTTTGAGCTAAATTGGTAAGGTTGATTGATAATTTGTCGTTAAGCGCAAAGCTACACAATGGGCTATCTGTGCTCTGTACTGAAACCCGGTTTCTAGCGTTGTAAGTCCGCGGACATACTGCTGTGCCATTAGGGGGAGGGGAGATTGATAAGGACAAGGAAAACACATCAGTCCAATACATTCCATTGTCTAGTATTGGTTTAAAAGTCAAAATATCACTACATTTATGTTTTCTCTTGCAGCCTAAGCATTGAATCTTGATCACAATGAGCATCATTTGGATAAACGTGAAAACTATATTCACCAATATTTTCATCTGTTATCATCAGGGAAATAACTGTAGACTGCGCTCCTCATCATCATCAGTGACAATTCACACATGGACAGTACAATGAATAAGTTTGCAAAGGCACAGGTAACAAACAACTAAACTTTAAAATAGCTGCCAGTTTTCAATAATTTCAAGAATCATTCTTGATAAATATTTCTTATTTGACGGAAAGAATAAGAAAAATAGTTTATCATTCTACTTACAAATGTTACGTTCTTGAAAACTGGGATCGATTCTTGTACGATTCAACGGATATAGTTGCCTTCACAATTCTAGGCCCAAATAAGATGAAATCCAGAGGATTTCATACGTTTTTTTCCAACTACAATATTAAAATGTCTTTAGCTAAAATTCTTGGAATATTGGAGAAACGAATCTAATAGGGGGCATTGCGATCATAAATCAAACATGTCAATTAAGTATAAAATAATGATGATGAGAAAGCCTTGTATGTTAATAACAAGAAGCCAACATAAAACTGTGGAACATGTGCCAGATGTCAGTTTTCTACTATGATGATAGCTACTTAGATTTTAGTGACACTGTTTTCAGTCAATCTGTTGTACTGTGTATTAGAGAAAACAATATTAAAATTTGTTTGATCAGTTACTGCAACATACAACAGAAAATTAGTCACTTGACATACTGAGAATTGTTGATTCAATCTTCACGCCCCTTACAAAAGTGTATTTATGAAGAATATCAAGCGATTCGATGATGTGGAATCAGTGTTGAAATTTGTCAATATTCAATAACTCTTTACGTTTGGTCTAGACGATAAAGTCTCTGTTTCGCAATAGGGCACTTGCATGACAAATTGGTTCCTTGGCGTTTCACTGTTTATTTGTTAGCAAGTGAATGGAAACTCTGACAGAGAGCTGGAAAGTAATAAAACTCACAATGAAGAAATACGTGGTCTTGACTCTCACTGAAACTTGACTAAAATATATAATATTTAGAGAATCATTTCATTCATCATGATACTTAACTCTCGAGCTTATTCTATCAATACATGCTTGAGAAGTCTTGCGATAAATCTCAAATCACGATTTAGATTATGATTTTACGCGTGACTGTAAAAAAATATATTTTAAACTACTCAACAATTATCAGTTATGATACTTACTGATTGGTTTTATTAACTAATAAAACTAATTAATTAAAACTATATATTAATTGTTGCTGTTATAAAGGTTTCCTCGCTGATATTATTGTTACGCTGTTGTGAACCATGGTATTTCTGTGCAGTAGGATTCAAAGGCAGAACAGTACTTAATGAAGTCAGTTGCTAATCAATAAGAAAAAAGTTATTGCGCTCCTAAGGCTCCTAAGAGAATTATATCTGAATTCTACGAACATTTTGTACTTTTTAAACAGCCCTCAGACCTTTTGCGCTCTGGAGTGAATAAATATTATCTAGCTCTAGGACTATAACCTGTTTACGCAGAAGTAAATGAATCTCTTCACTCTTTGATTAACCTCTGACTAAACAGCAGTCTGCCTTACTAAAACAACGTCTGGAAAATTCTAGAACAGGCATAACTCACCACTCTTCTATAGATAATAGTGCCCATCTTCCATTGAAATTTCTTCTATAAATCCTCTAAAAATTATCTCTTGCAAAAATATGTTTCTTTGTGGAATTTACTAAAGCATTTTCTGTGCTTTATTGTAGGCCTAGTGTTATTGTTTAGTCTAAGAAAAACTGAGTTTTTTTAACCAAAATAAGCACTGCATCTTGATCCAAATTCGCCCAGCATGGCCAGTTGGTTAAGGCGCTCCACTCACAATCTGTGGGTCGCGGATTCGAATCCCCGTTACACCAAACATGCTCGTCCTTTCAGCCGTTGGGGCGTTATAATGTGTCGGTCAATCCCACTATTCAATGGTAAAAGCGTAACCGAAGAGTTGGCGGTGGGTGGTGATGATTAGCTGCCTTCTCTCTAGTCCTACTCTGTTAAATTAGGGACGACTAGCGCAGATAGCCCTCGTGTAGCTTTGCGCGAAATCCATAACAAACAAACAAACTTGATCTAAATTATAATATATAATTAGAAATATAATATTCAAGAATTATTTGTATGACAGGAAAAGACGACATAGTTTGTAAAATGTACAGCAATAAACTGTTTCCAGAATAAAACTATGAAAACTATGTAATCGTAATGGGATATACTGAACAAAAAAACAGAGAAATGTAAGTTAACACACACGTATGAAAGACATTACAAAACATATCTCACTCTTAGTCAAATTGCACAAAAATAAATTTAACTTATTATGCCCCTTTACAAACTACAATATTAATAATTACAATTGATATGTATCGGCAGGACCAAAGAGAGTGTCGCTAGGGTTAGTTTGTTTGTTTATTTGAAGTTAAGCATAAAGCTGCACAATGGACTATCTGTGCTCTGCTCCCCACGGGTAACGAAACTCGGTTTCTAGCGCTGTAAGCCCACAGACATACCGCTGTACCACTGAGGGGCCGCTAGGGTTAGAGCTTATGATTTGTAGCATACCTGCCTCAAGTCACTTAAACACTCTGTCAATATTAAAGTGACGTTCAGGCTGGAGCCACGTGCTACTCGTAAGTTGTGTAAGTCAATTTCTATATATCCATCACGTTTACCGGGATAACAGTATACGATAAGCGATGTCCAGTGCGTCTACTTAGCGTCTCAGCGAAGAAGCGAGAAGTTGTTTCTCCATTGCTTTAATAACCAATAACTTTTAAAGATCAACACAAGTAATTGTTTGTTTAGAGCTGTTCTTACCTTCGCAAATTGTTTATAATTCAAAATAATGTATACATGAAAAAAAAAAAAAATTGAAGCTCCAATTACACAAGGTGAGAATTTTTATTCTTTGTAGATAAGTATATTATATTTAGTTTTGTTAATCGTTTTCTGTGACTATTTTCTGTTTTGGGATTACAGTTAGAGATAATATTTATTTTGGAAACTGTCAAATTTATTCAGTTAGAATATATTTGATTTATACTTCAAATTGATATCTAAAAGGGGTATAAATACTAATATCATCTCGAAATGTTATGTGAACAGATATATATCTTATATACAGATTTCATGAATTATATACGAGTAATCAACTTTTGGGCCATATTCGATTATTCGTTATATATATATATATATATATATATATGAATATAGCTCAAATAATGATAAAATTATTTCCTACTACCACATATTGTATTAGTCATTTCCAATTGGATCATTACAATATGTTGTGTGAATGAGTCCTTTTGTGAAATTACTTAGTATCTTGTTAAATATATTATATATATATTTATATATATAAGGAAATTATGTATATAATTTATATATATATAAAACTAAGAAAAATATTTTTGGGGAAAGACTTCATCAGCAAATATATAAGTCGTTATACTTCTGCGTCACTGTTAATTGTCAATGTATTTTGGGAAGTGATTCTGTGTCATGGAACCTTCAACATTGTGTGGAAATGATTCTACGATTTAATGTAGATTATGGCCATTGTTTTGTTTGAAGTTAAGCACAAAGCTACACAATGGGCTATCTGTACTCTGCACACTACGTGCATCGAAACCAGGTTTCTAGCGTTGTAAGTGCGCAGACATACCGCTGTGCCAATGGGGGTGGGGGCATTATGGCCATAAAACGTCTTCTAATAAATATGCTTATGTAAAATTGCGTTATACATACACTGTATCTCCTTGTTAAGTTTGTTTGCTTTTAAGCACAAATCTACACAAATGAGCTATCTGTGCTCTTTCCATTGCAAATTGAAACCCGATTTTTAGCGTTGTAAGCCCTCAAACTTACCACTAAGCCACCGAGAGAGGAGATTCTTTGTTAAAATAATGTGCAGCACAGCCAAACATAGTAATAAAACGCTACTAAATAGTCATACCACTAAACCCCAAATTTTTGTTTGTTTCATAACAACATTTATGACAGTGTTACTTTCGTTTCACTAGATCATAGCGATTGGCATAATAAACAGGTTTAGACGGAATGTTTAACTATAAATGTCCTTGAGATAATGACCAGGCTTGACAAAATGAGCGTTGACTAATCAGACGCAAATTTTTTACTATAGTATCGCGCTTTTAAGCGTTGATAAATTAAGTCAGACTGTATGCAGTGAATCAGTTGTTTGTAAATGAATAATTCATCATCTGTATTTAGACTTTACCTTACGAGATAATATACGTACTGCCATTCCGGTTTAGTTAATCAGTTTATATGAGAACAATAGAAGTTCTATAATCGACATTGCTGCAAACAGTTGCAGTGTATTAGCTCGAAGTCTGACGCAAGTTATTTAATCGGGCTTATATCAGTTTTGAATAAAATATATTTATTAAAAAATCATGAGCTTTAATGATAAGCTTAGTACAATAACAAATAACTTAAATATAACAAGTGTAAAAAAAATTAAATAAATAACTTAGGAAAGGAGAATGGGAGCACCAAAAACTAAGGAAACAAGGTAGGAATGGGCGGGTAACTTTACAGCACTTGGTTATTTTTGATATGGTACAACCTCAAAGTGGGTGTGGCCATCGTTCTGCCGATTTCTGGCCGAAACAATAGTATCAAACCGCTGATTTTTTAAATTTTAAAATTTGTTGAGTATTTAGAAAGGATCAGCTACTGATAAAACTCCATTCAAGTCTTTAATTGGATTAAAGTTCAAAGTAAAACATGAAGTAGGAAAGGGCAGAACACTTTGAGGTTGCACGTATAAAAAATCACAAAGTGTTGGAATGTTATCTCGCCCATTCCTACTTTGTTTCCTAGCTTTTTGGTGCTCCCATTTCTACTTTCTGATATTTTTATTTACAAATTTATATACTTGTCTCATATCGTTTTTAGTACTAAGTCTCGAGAGTGACTAGATCTAGGCCTATCCTTCTCGTAGCTTTTCTTAGAGCCATCTCTCGATATTTCTTGGCTCTTCCTGATATCTTTACTATAGCTTTTCATCCATATAGCCACGGTGGCAACCTTTTTTTTTTTGGCTGTATTAATGACTAAGGCTTGTTTTGCATATTCAGCATTACTATTTCTAAACTTGTCTCTATTCTTGCAGTAATGCTCTCTTCCCTGGGACAAAGACTTTTCAAGGATTATTAACATAAGAGTTTTTTTCCTTTTCTCTCTTTTGTTTCTTTGAAAGGCATGTTTTTAAAATTGCACTGTTTAAAGTACAACCTTAGATGTCAATAGGTCACATTTAGTTTGAAAATAATGCAAAAGTAAGTTATACAACTTATCGTTCTTGATTTCACTCCAGAACACTCGAGCAAAGCCGTGTCAGACTTCGGTAGTAGTAGTAGCGTTCGTACTCACGTCTTAGGCACTGACTGCTATGATAAAATTGCTTTGTCCAACACAGAGCCTTCGAGTCAGATGTATAGAACTTGAAATTTTGCTTTCAATTATTAGATCATAGTTAGAACCTAAATCTAGAGAATCTATGCAGTCCACGTTTCTTTATATAGCTAATATAGCTGTAGGCTTATCACGTTGCGCGTGTGCATAAGCAATCGGGTTATTACTCGGCAACTCACAGAGCGTGCTTGTAATAATAGAATATAGCTACTATTGTATTATTAGCTCATTAGTAGTGTCGCAAAATGATTACTGTTATTACCAAAGCTATAAACAAAACTAAGAAAGACGCTTTTAGCCAAGATAACGTAATTCGATCATGTACATTTAAATATGCATAAGGTGAAAGCAGAAGAGAGTTATGCCTTTTCAACAACGTTAGTCAGTCAGTCAGATAGTCAGACTGAAATATTTGTGTTTTTCGGAAATTTTTGTTTTTACCCTACCGACTTTCTTGAGTACTTTGATGGCTTTTTACTCTACAGTTGGTTTTTTACTACTCAACAGTGTGTGTAAAATGTTCATAAAGTTTTGTTTATATGCTGTTTGTGGTGTGTTTGAGATTTTAATTTGTATTGCACATTTCACCCATTCCTGCCATAAGTACTACCGTACTTATGATAATCGTATCCCAACTGATAATACACACTGATAGTACAACAAGCAACTTAGGAATGAATTGACCACTGGTTGGCTCAATGATAGTGCTCTAAATTTCGAAACTGGAGAACAGGGCTCGAATCAGCGCGAGATGCCACGATTGATGCTTCAGAACAGTGATAGTCAATCCTTTAGAGTGGAATGTAGGTGGTATGGTGCTGCTGACTGCCTGCCATCCATCTGATCAGTATTCCAAAATTCGGGATGACGACAGACAGATAACTTAGCTTTGCCACAAATGCGAAATACAAATACAAGGAGTGAATTATGAGAGATGTACATCTTTGGTGTTGATACTGACAGCAAGAATTTTGTATATAGATTATCAAAAACAAAAGGAAATATTTTATCATAGGAAAATAATGAGCCTAAGAAATGATGGAAAGTCTTCATTAGATGCTATCATTAGACCAAATGGTGTGAACAAATCATTAGATGTAAATTATTAGAATGGAAGAAGACTGATGCTAATTTAAATATGTTCGGTATTTTTGTGCGAAGCTACAAAAGGTTGTTTTCTTATAGATGCCCACAATTTTGAAACGATAAACTAGAAGGAAGACAGATACTCTACAACATCTACCACCAACTATTATCTAGCCAATATCTACCACCAACTATTATCTAACCAACATCTACCACCAACTATAATCTAGCCAATATCTACCACCACCTATTATCTAACCAATATCTACCACCAACTATTATCTAACCAACATCTATCACCAACTATTATCTAGCCAATATCTACCACCAACTATTATCTAACCAACATCTATCACCAACTATAATCTAGCCAATATCTACCACCAACTATTATCTAACTAATATCTACCACCAACTATTATCTAACCAACATCTACCACCACCTATTATCTAACCAATATCTACCACCAACTATTATCTAACCAACATCTACCACCAACTATTATCTAACCAGCATCTACCACCAACTATTATCTAACCAGCATCTACCACCAACTATTATCTAACCAACATCTACCACCATCTATCATCTAATCAAATAGTGAATTTCATCATCGCTCTTATAATACCAAAGTACAAAACGTATTTCTGCGTCAATGGGACGTAAGACCCTTGGATTCACTGTCCAGTTATTTCAGAAAACTTCATCAGAAGCTCTTAGCTAAATACATAGGACATAGAAAATAACTGGTACGTCTGTTTGTTTGTAATTAATCACAAAGCTACACAATGGGCCATCTGTATTCTGCCCACCACTGGTATCGAAGCCCGGATTCAGCGTTATAAGTCTGCAGACATACCGCTGTGCCACTGGAGGGCACTGATACGTCAATAAAGTACCAACTTATGGTAAATAACTCGTAAGCTGTAAACCCTTGGATCAATTAATAACGTAAAATTTTTATTAATAGCTGTTGTATATTATAATTAATAGCTATGGAGAAAATAGCTTCAACAGATATTGCTCAATACAATAGAAAATGTGTGCAAAATCATATCACACTGGCTCAAAAACCCTTTATAAGATCTAACTTACTAAGCTATTATTGCATTGTTATTAATAATGTTCATATGCATACAAACAATATAACATTTCCCATATTGTGTTTAAAATTAACTTTACAGTATTAGTTGGTTTTTGTTTGTTAGTTTGTTGTTCGGCGCAAAGCTACATAATAATTGTCGGTGCTGTGCGCATCGACAGTATTGAAACTCGATGTTTAGCATTATACGCCCTTAGACTTATAGATGAGCCACCGGAGAACAATTAGTTGTTGTTTTAGCTAAACAATGGGCTATCTGC